ACATTTAAACACTAGAGCAGAGGTTTTCAAATTGTCAGGCACAAGTTTAGGTAGGGAGCGTGGACGGAGAGACATGGGGCAAAGATACTGCTTTGGGGTGAAAGGGCAATTAGGATACTTTAAAACCCTTATCAGCAGATCACAGCCATTTGCACTGAATCTGAAAACAAACACATGGTATACATACTTTTAGATTCAGTGTGACTTTCAAAAGACGGGCACAGAAATTACGAAAACTACGTTCTTTATAACTACACAACTTTCCTAAGAATCCAGTGATAGTTGTCTGTGCATCCATGGGTAATCTGCAAACAGGAGCTGTTAATGGCTAGTTCTACTAGTTCTACTTTTAATGTCGATAAAATGTAGACAAAAGAATCTGTATCTGAAGTTACAGCCCCCAGTCTAACTCAATGACTCAACATTATACCTCCTGGGGTCCACATTATCAGAAATACCCTGAACTACCATTACCAGACCTTACCCTTGGTGTAAAGGAAAGCAAACAGCTCTCTGCCCAGCTCGGTGTTGGACATGGTTTCCTTGACGAAGGCTTCCTGCTCAGCCAGCTGCTGGGGACTGAAGTCCTCTGTCTGTCCAGTCATCCTGTGGTAGTTGTCCAGCACAGCCAGGAGAGCAGCGTAGGTGGGTCTGGAGAATAGAGCCTTCTCATCCAGGTATTGGAACAAGCTGGAAGCACAAAAACAGGCACCAAATGACGGGGGGGATATCAAAATCAAAAAGAGGGGAGCCAAAGTGAGAGAGCTGTTAATAAGATTGTGTAGGCTGCCTACTCACACTCCAGAGGAGAGATCTTTCTGGGAGCTGGTCTGAGAGCCTGGCACCAATGCCTGAGGGTCAATGATCAACTCTGAGGCTGAAGCCTTGTTTGAATCCAGAGCATACAACGTCTCAGAGAGAGCCTTGATCTCAGCATCAGTGATCACAGTACCTCCACCTCCCTCACCTGCAGAACCTCACAAACACAAATAATGGAATTACCAGTAGTGAAACGTTATTAGGTACATTTACTCAAGTACTTAACTTAAGTACAAATCTGAGGTACTTGTATTTTACTTGATTACTTCCATTTTGTGCTACTTTATACTCCCACTAAATTTAGTAGAAAATACTATACTTTTCACTCTACTACATTTATCTTTACAGTTTTAAGTCTCTTTTCAGATTGAGATTTTACATATTTTATGAAGAGACTGTGTAATCTATATATAAATACAATGTGAAATAGCCTACTATTAGATTAAATCTTATATATATATCATAAAGCATCACTTTGGTAAAATAGTTCCACCTCAACCAGTTACAACCTTAAAATGCTGTTTGCATAAGTAATAATATAATAACAATAATATAATAATACACTGTGAAAGGGACCATTTTCTATGGTGAGTTTTTACTTTTCATGTAGGCTACATTTTGTATATAATACTTCTGCGTTTTTACATAATTAAAATTATGAAAGCAAGACTTTCATTTAACGTAGTACATTTTTATTTGCAGTACTGATACTTTAACTTACTTCTGCCACCACTGAGTATTACAGTAGAAGGGGGGAGCAGGCTTAATTGAGGGAAGAGTAAACTGAACCTTTTTACTCTCAATGTGTTGTGTAGCACAATAGTGACACCCACTGGTCATCTACTGAAAGAAGATTTGACCAAGAGAGGCTGGCCAGACGACCCAACAGTGGTGTAAGAAGAATTAAGACCCGTTAACTACTTAGCCTAGATAGAAGTACCGATACCAGAATGTAAAAATACTCCATTATAAGTAAAAGTCCTACATTTAAAATCGCCCTTAAGTAAACGTAAAAGTAGCATTTTACTGTTGTAGCTGGTCGAGATGGAGCTAATTTGAACTAGGCTATTTCATGTAATTTTGGCCCCTCCGAAGGACACAACTGAGGGGTTGTTGTATGAATAATGTGGCACAAAACAATTAACAAAACAACGATCTAATACACAACTTTGTTATATTTATTTGGACTCTTTGACAGATGCAGAGCCGCAAACAGTTATTTAGATGAAACCATAATAATCTATTTTTTTGCGGAACTGGTAAAAACTCATCTGAGTGAGAAATGGAGCTTTTCAGTGCACCACGGGGCTCATTGTTTGACTGCTGACTGTTTAGATTCAGTGTCCTCCATGTGAAAGTGACCAGGTGTCATGTGCAACACAAAAGGTAGAAACTAACGATCAGTGGCGATTTATCCTGTGACACGTGAGACGGGGTCATGCTATACGGTGACGCGCGTGATTGGAGAAGTTTCTTACTGTCACAGACGGCTGCGTAGTCGCTGCAGCAGTTGTTGTGCTGGGCGCACTTGGAATTGCAGTGGCACTGGTTCTGAGAGTTGTATTTCTCACCACATCTGCCTTTACACGATGTGGCTGCAGCTAGAAGGAGAGGAAACACGTTTGCGACAAGAGGCAAGGAAACATTTTCTACAGACGTCTTCAATGAGTTCATAAAACAACAGCCTGCTTTTGTGTCTCACCTTTACATACTTCAATGAAGTCTGAGCAACAGTCGCTGAAGCGCTCACAGGAGGAGTTACACTGACAGGAGAACGTGTTATCTGTTCCGTAACCACACCGACCCCGACATGAGTCCAGTGTGTCTGTGAATCAACAGGACAGATTGGCCGCAGTATGCCTAGTCTACATTAAATCCTATTTGAAACTGGTTATTCTGTAATAATATGGTGATATAGATCGTAAGGAAATGTCTTACTGCTGTATCCCTGGTAGAACAGGGTCATCCAAAGTGCAAGGACAGCAATGACTTTCATCTTGGCCCACCTGCAACCTGAAAATAAGGTGAACTGCTAACTTGGTCTCCCTTTTATAGCAAGTTTCACCCGACCAATCCAAACGTACTGCCATTTACTTCATCGTGATCCTGTCTTGTTGGATTAATGATTTGTGAGTTGTAGAACAGATCCTCAATAAAAAAAAAGTGGTTCTGTTGACTTCAATAATGTCAACAGAAACCTGATCTCACAGAATTGTGAAATGACCACTGCCTCTTAAACCCGAATTAGCCTACGTGATGTTGGCAATGTAAATATTCGTGCTAACAGTGTAGGAGTAGGTCAAATTATGCACAGACAAAAAAGACAAACTACTCTTATATCATGTGAATGTGACTGACATAATGTTTCAACCACAGATTATCTTCCTCAGGTAAATGTGAAGAGGTGAACACACCTGTAGCCTATTCAAGAGGCAAAAAATTATGAAACATCACAGAATTATTTCCTAATTTTTGATTTGTTTGCCAAATCATATTTTATTATTGGGGACAACAAGAAAGAATTAATATTTTTAAACAATCTTTACTTATTGGAGTACTAACAGACTATAATGTTAATGCAATATTTTGTAATCACACTTGATGGAGGCAAACAGGGAATATTGTCCTGTTGTAAATGTGGTTGGTTATCTAAGCAGGAAATGATGACTTGTCATTTCATCACAAATACATATATGTTCACTGCTTTACCTTTGCCTATAAAGGACATTTGAAATAATTCTAGTCACATCCACATCAAATAAAAGACTTGGGGGAAATTACCTTTTTTTCTCACTAAGTTACTCACTAGACTACTCAAGTATTTTTTTTAGTAAATACTTTTGTACTCTTACTCAAGTAGTTATTTTGATGACCACTTTTACTTCTACATGAGTAGGTTACTTGTTTTTGCAAAGTAACAGTACTTTTACTTGAGTACAGTTTTGGGCTACTCAACCAACCTCTGTTGGCACCACTGAAACAACGGCAATAAAAAACCTAATCAGGTTGGTCTAAAGGTGATAGAGTAACTTTTACTCTATCAGTTCTATGTGAAACTGCACACCTGCTTAGCACAAGTATGAATAAGACCATATATTGGTGTGAACTGTGATAATGGCTGCCATGTTAAATTTTATAGCTTTTTTGTGACAATTTATTGATATATTTTCTTTTGAATTAAACTGTGAAGCTGAATGTGTATTTTAGCCTGCTGCATTTTAAGGCTGTAGGCCTATTGCCCAATAAAACCTTAAATTTATAAACTATATTTACACAGGACGTCCCAGTGTGACCACATGCTGTATTTCACAAGGTTAAGATAACTCAGAATAGTTCCACTGCCTCAGTGTCCCTGCTCATGTTCACGTGCTCCCACTGCAAATACCAAAGACCCATGTACATCCTGTAAGTTATGCATATTAGCCTACACAGTAAATCGTATTTGGGTGGAAAGTAACTAAGTAAGTACATTCACTTAAGTGCTGCATTTACATATAATTTTGAGGTAGCCCACTTGTAGGGTAGAGTGTTTCCATTTAATGCTACTTTATACTTCTAATTCATTATATTTAAGAGCTATAGTTGGTACTTATTTTAAGATTAATTAGTTTAAATTACGATTTAACATAGGCCTACAAAACATAGTTTATAAAATATGGTTCATTGCCAGAGATTAAACTAACAAAAATAGCCTATATAAAGTATTTAAAATTAGCTCCACCAACTACAATATTATAGTGCTGTTTACATATTAATACGTCTGTAGTAATGGTCCAATGCAAAACACTAACCGTAGCCACACTGCATAATAAGTACTTTTACTTTTGATACTCTTTCAGATGCTTTCAAACAGAAAATGTAAAAAAAAAAAAAAGAAAAAAAGAACTTGACTTGATTTTTTAAGCAGGAAGAGACTTCAGTTTAACAGTAGAACAAGAACGGTTGCATTGCATTTTCTCCTGGGAATTGCTGCCTTTCTGTCTGTGCAGTTTAAATCACTATTGTCCCCCTAAAATAATTCCACTAGTGAATTAGAAAAGGTGGATAAAGTGGGAAATATTGACTTTTTTAAGTGATAATCACGCAAACTACCGATCACATGTTGCTCCAATCATTACTCCCGTACTGTAGAGGGCGCTGAGCAGTCATAAGTAACTTTACATAGACTCTTTTGGCCCTACACGGCTTCCTTACACAGCGTGGATTTCAATGACACTGAGCAAGACATTTCACTTCTACAGGCTGAAAAGATGTCGTTATCCTTTTTGTTCAGAACTGTTATAGGAGACGTCGCAAAGGTGAGCAGGTTTAAACCTTACGCTTAGTCATGTTTTGAACATTGTACCTGTAGCTTGAGCTGTCACGAGCAGGTTTGTTAGTTAGTTTTCTCTCTGTTTCACCAGCCAACGTTACTGGGCCGGTTTCAATAAGTTATCTTGCTAATTCATTCTTATTTCGTATATATGTTGATGTTTAAATATCTTTGGGGCGGGTTATTTCTGCTGATTATTATACTTCCTAATGGCATTTGTGGTGACACAGTATGCCCAGGTCACTGGGCCTTGTGAACTTGTACTGTACGCTGTATGGTAACTCTCACCTGTACTTTCATCCTCAGGTCAGCAATTGCCATCATGTACAGTCGTTACACACAGGTTGTCAGCTTTTGGTGGCTGAGAAAGCCCTCCTGATGAAACTGAGGAAAAACACTGGCTACACTTTCATGAACTGCAAGAAAGCACTGGAGAAGTTTGATAATGACATAACACAGGTAAACCCTCTCTCCAAGTCGGCATCTGCACTCACAATTCAAGGTGTGGTACGCACAACAATGTATGTATAGCTTTGGTAACAACTGGCTGTGTGTCTGTGTTGTTGAAAACTTTCAGGCCGAGACATGGCTGCATGAGCAGGCCCAGAAGGAGGGCTGGAGCAAAGCAAACAAGCTGGAGGGTCGCAAAGCCAAAGAGGGTCTGATTGGCCTGTTTATAGGAGATAAAGCTGCAGTTATGGTGGAGGTATGGCCAGCTGTACAATGATTAATAACCAGCATCATTATTTCAGTGGATCACTTTCCAGTTTGTCGGAACATGATGGTACTCGGCAATATCTGTCTTTCTTCTTGTCTATTTGATGCAGGTGAACTGTGAGACAGACTTTGTTGCCCGCAACGAGAAGTTCCAGCAGCTGGTTAAGGATGTGGCATTTGCCACCTTTGCTCACCACCAGAATAAAACCCAAAGCAAGGCAGGATATGTGAAGGTAAAGGGCAAAACAGTAGGAAAAGCACTGGTTTAAATAATAAAATGAATGATGGCTGAAGTTTCAGGGTACTGATATAGTGCATGCTGGCTCACTGTAACACTGTCGTGGCTTACAATATAACGGAGTCATTGTTAATTACAGTAAAGTTACACCTGTGCTCTTCCTATTACGACCAGTCACATGTCTGCTGTGATAAAGGCCTGTGGATCAGTTACACAGTTGCAGGCATAATGTCCGCACTCTGCTATGTGAAATTTCTTTGGGTAGTCTGGGAGTAATGATCAGTGGTTCCCAAATCTTGTCTGTCATGGATAACAGCATGATGCATTTTACAAAACTTGAGAAATGAGGACTCAAACAACCTTTCCAAGACTTTTATCTAACTTTTATCTAACATGTCTGAAACACAGCGTAAGACCTCCTGGAGGTTGATGTTAAAAGCAAGATACATACAACATTGTTAACTGATGTCAGTATGCATCAGCCCTGTTTCCTTTGTTTCCTTTTCCACTTTGATTTTGTTACTACATTTGTTTTCAGAGTGTCCTGGCAGGAGATGAGTTAAGCAAACTCAGTGTGGGTGAAGGAGCTTCACTTGCTGACCGGGTGGCTCTCACAATAGGTCAGTAAGAAAATTTGTTTCTTAAGTGACACTGTTCACTGTTGCTCTGAAACAATGATGTTTTGAAACACATGATTATAACTGACAACTAATGAAAACCCCAATTTCAGTATCTCCAAAAATTAGAATATTACTTAAGACCAATACAAAAAAAGGATTTTTAGAAATGTTGTCCAACTGAAAAGTATGAACATGAAAAGTATGAGCATGTACAGCACTCAATACATAGTTGGGGCTCCTTTTGCCTGAATTACTGCAGCAATGCGGCGTGGCATGGAGTCGATCAGTCAGTGGCACTGCTCAGGTGTTATGAGAGCCCAGGTTGCTCTGATAGTTGGGTAGTGGCGTGTCGCATCTTCCTCTTCACAATACCCCACAGATTTTCTATAAGGTTAAGGTCAGGCCAGTTTGCTGGCCAATTAAGAACAGGGATACCATGGTCCTTAAACCAGGTACTGGTAGCTTTGACACTGTGTGCAGGTGCCAAGTCCTGTTGGAAAATGAAATCTGCATCTCCATAAAGTTGGTCAGCAGCAGCAAGCATGAAGTGCTCTAAAACTTCCTGGTAGACGGCTGCGTTGACCTTGGACCTCAGAAAACACAGTGGACCCACACCAGCAGATGACATGGCACCCCAAACCATCACTGTCTGTGGAAACTTTACACTGGACTTCAAGCAATGTGGATTCTGTGCCTCTCCTCTCTTCCTCCAGACTCCTTGATTTCCAAAGGAAATGCAAAATTTACTTTCATCAGAGAACATAACTTTGGACCACTCAGCAGCAGTCCAGTCCTTTTTGTCTTTAGCCCATGCGAGACGCTTCTGACGCTGTGTCTTGTTCAAGACTGGCTTGACACAAGGAATGCGACAGCTGTAACCCATGTCTTGCATACGTCTGTGCGTGGTGGTTCTTGAAGCACTGACTCCAGCTGCAGTCCACTCTTTGTGAATCTCCCCCACATTTTTGAATGGGTTTTGTTTCACAATCCTCTCCAGGGTGCGGTTATCCCTATTGCTTGCACACTTTTTTCTACCACATCTTTTCCTTCCCTTCGCCTCTCTATTAATGTGCTTGGACACAGAGCTCTGTGAACAGCCAGCCTCTTTAGCAATGACCTTTTGTGTCTTGCCCTCCTTGTGCAAGGTGTCAATGGTTGTCTTTTGGACAGCTGTCAAGTCAGCAGTCTTCCCCATGATTGTGTAGCCTACAGAACTAGACAGAGACCATTTAAAGGCCTTTGCAGGTGTTTTGAGTTAATTAGCTGATTAGAGTGTGGCACCAGGTCTCTTCAATATTGAACCTTTTCACAATATTCTAATTGTCTGAGATACTGATTTTGGGGTTTTCATTAGTTGTCAATTATAATCATCAAAATTAAAAGGAATGAACACTTGAAATATATCAGTCTGTGTGGAATGAATGTATACATTATACAAGTTTCACTTTTTGAATGGAATTACTGAAATAAATCAACTTTTTGATGATATTGTAATTATATGACCAGCACCTGTGTATATACTTGAGGTAGGAGGATTAAAATGAACCATTCAAACCTCAATGTGAATTCTTTAACATGAAATGAATCACATTTTAGTGAAATCAGATTTTTGCACCATTCATTGATCAAACATGTTTCCCTCATATTGTTTTTTTCTTTTTTTTTTCTTTTTTTTTTTTTTTCTCAGGTCGCCTTGGTGAGAACATGTCAGTGAGGCGGGCGGTGACAGTGGGTGTCCCTGCTGAGTGGAACATCGGCTCCTATGTTCACGGTGGTGAAAGTGGCCAGACTGAGGTGGCCATGGGTCGGTACGGTGCCCTGGTCGTATTTCAAGGTGGAAAGGAAGGAGAAGAGAAGGTTTTAGGACGTAAGCTGGGACAGCATATTGTGGGAGAGGCCCCCTTGTCCCTGGGCAACATGGATGACCTTCCCTGCGGGGAAAGTGAGACACGCCTGCTTCCTCAGACCTTCCTGGGAGACCCCAGCAGGACGGTGGCACAGTTCCTCAGGGGTCAGCAGGCTCGAGTGCTGGACTTTGTCCGATTTCAATGTGGCGAGACAGCCAGTGAAGAAGCACAATGAAGCGAGGGAAACCATTTATCTAAAAGGATTTGTCATGTGTTTATTACCTATTCATTCTTGAACATTCAGATGGTGTCATCATGAATTTGAAAGCAGAATATGTAGGCCTACCACCAGTGGTGCGATCCAACAATAAAATGTTTTGTCCTCAAAGTCTTAGTCTGTATTAATTTGTATATAATATTTAGTATTTTTAATTATTAAATCTCTTTTGGACAGATGTATTTGTTGCTCAGTCAGTATGTCATGCTGTAATTATTTTGAAATATTTTGTCCACATGACCATCCTCTTAATCCATAACCCGCTGGCCGTGCCAACATTTTGTCACAATTTCCATCTGTTTTTCCTGTTTTCTTCCTTTCATGCTCGCATGCATTTACATATGACGTTGAACGGAACAAAATGTTTGTCTGTGTCTGCATGGGACTTGGCTTTTTTTTTTTACCTGATATGCTTTGCCCCAAGAAATAAAGCATAATTAAAGGAAATACAATATTTTGAACAAAACATAGCCATAAACCTTCCTAGAAGATGGAAACAATCAGATATACAGACAAAGTACAGGCTTAAACACATTGTTGTTGTTTTTTTAGAGTTTATCCAAACTATTTTGAAACTGTTTGGTCCAAGCACTGCAGTACATACAAGTACATTTAATCAGTGCTGTTGCTACTTGAGTGAAGGCTTGTTTGGTACGTTATAGACTTAGTAAATTACTAACACACTTTAGTGTAACAGTTATACAGTTATAAGTTTATATTATCAGAAGCTTTTTAATTGTTACGATCAGTGGTGGATGAAGTATTCAGATCCTGTAATTAAGTAAAAGTACTGCATTAAATATGTTACTTAAGTAAAAGTATAATCAGGAAAATGTACTTACAGTATTAAAAGTAAAAGTACTCATATCTATATATATTAAATCCTATATATCATTAGATTGTTATTATTACTCATGCATTAATGTTAAAGCAGGATTTTACTGTTGTAATTATTTGAGATCAGACTGCAAAATACTTTTTTCATCATGGATTAATCTGCTGATAATTTCCTTCATTTCCTTTCATTCATTGTAAAAATTCAGAAAATTACAAGAAAATGTTGTCACAATTATCCAGAACCCAAAATGGCACCTTCACAATACTTGTTTTGTCAGTCCAAGCCTCAAAATGATTAAAAATACATTAAAATAATTAAAAAGGAATGCTGAAAACATGAAATGTTATTACATGAAAAATGACTTAAATGATTATCAAAATAGGCTAGTTAATTAATAGGCTATCAATTAAATTTATGTCAGTCAACTAATGTACTAGTTGTATAGCTTGCATGTCGGGCAGTTTAATTTATTAACAAAACATCATATTCTTTAAACTCCTCATATGTTTTATGTGTAAAAAATCTTACTTTGTAAAGTAACTAACAGTAACTGAAGCTGTCATATAGATGTAGTTAAGAAAAAAGTACAATATGTCCCTCTGAGAATACAGCAGAAGTAGAAAGTGGCATGAAAAGAAAATACTCAAGTAAAGTACAGGTACCTCTAATTTGTACTTAAGTACAGTACTTGAGTAAATATACTTCGTTACTGTCCACCTCTGCTTACTATTGCTTTTATGCACCTGTGCAAAAATGCGAGCGACGCGGTTGTGAAATGGAGACGTGTGATTGGCTGTTGCTGGACAAGCGGCGGTGACATCATCGATGATGAGCTGAAGCCAGCCGGTGTCCTCCTCCTCCTCCTCCTCCTCCTGCTCCTGCTCACAGCGTCGTGAAGAGATCCGAGACCCTCGCCCGTCTGTCATCCGACAACCACACACGGACATGGTAACCGAAGATGTGATCTATCGAAGTAGCCTCTTTTGATGGATTTGAAATCAATATCAGTGACTTGTTCCTCACTGGAAGGTTTTGCAGACATCTAACGCAGATGACGTTAAGCTAGCTCCCCTGGCCTGCTTTAACGTTAAGCCTTTAGCCTTTATTTAACTGTAGGTTAGCGTTGGTGGAGGATTAACTTGACTCATTTGAAAATCACACTAATTCCAATCTGTTGTCTGTCTGCCGCTTATAACTGACTGTTTTTTCTCCTGTGCCTTTTAACCCTGCCTCAAACCAGTCCGACTTCACAGAGGACCAGATCATGGGTGAGTTAACATCTGATTTGCAAAAGGGATTGGTGTGAAGTGTTTATATTAATGCTGGTCACAATTCACACTGGACACATCTGGACGAGTGCCACAGAATGCTGTACTAACATGTAAAATAAAAAAAAATTTAGTAAAGCATATTTGTGTTTTTGCATGCTGATGCACGAATATACACTTTAAATGTGTGACATGTCAGCAGCATAATAAAGACAGGTTGTGTTTAACAGAGCAGTGTATGGATCAGGGTGTTGGCCCCAGACTTCACTTCTCTGGTGTACCTAGAGGCGTGACAGAGGACACTGAAACTATTCTTTTGTGGCTCTCACTGAGACCCTGCAGCTTGTTAGAACAGGTTGTGTGCAGGACACCAGCTACTGAGTGGTTCAGTTTAACATTTAATTATTTCAAGGCCTAGGCTAAAAACCAAAAGAGACAGGACCTTTGTCAGGGCCCTACACTCTGGAACTGTCTGCCAGAGGAGATCAGGCTCACAGAGTTCGTTCCTGGTTTCATCTCACTTCTTAAAACTTATGAATAGCTTTCAGTGTGTGTAAGTTTATTTCTCCATCATTTGTAAATTGACTAGGCAATATTTTATTTATTAAATTTAAATCCATTTGTGATGCATAATTTATTCTTGCTTTAATTGTACATGGACTTGTTTTATGTTTTATGACTATGTGTCTACGTTTTACATATACTGCTGGAAAGCACCTGTATTGTATTGTAAGTGGTATACAAATAAAGTCATTATTATTATTAACATGACAGAAGTGGCTGTAGGCGAGTTTTGTAGATGGTGTGCGAAGAAAACACAGTATATTTCCGTGTTTCCGAGCTGATACCGAGTCATACTGTGGCCAGAAAACTGAAATACTTTTATTATCAAAAGCTGCTAATGTATCACGTAGGGAAGTGCCATCTATGGTGTCAATTTCTGTGAGATAAATGCATCGTCAATGGGCTGCAGGACTTTTAATAAGTACTGTGTTGTGTGTTGATGTTTGATCATGCTCCGAGAACATAATAAAATGTGAGACAGGTCCAGTTTGGTATTGATACTGTAAATAAGACATTGATTTGCACACCCATACATCCTGGGCAAGTGGATCCCAGGATCTGCTCCTATTTGAAGAATATTTTTTCCTTGTCATTGTGCTGTATATGAGCCTGTATATAACCTTCTCTCCCGATGAAATTACACCAATGCAAATGCACGAAAGCTAGTTTTGCATTATCATCAAGCAGTATCAGCTGATAAAGATACCAACCTAGACAGCAGTGCCAGGCTCTGCTCCTGCCATGCAGAGACTTGTTTTTAGCATGTAATTGTTTTTATGTCTTTTATTGTTTTTACACTTGTGAAAGCACTTTGTAACTGGTTTTTGAAAAGTGCTCTATAAATAAAGATTATTATTAATTGCATGTGTCTACTGTGAAAACAAGGTATGCAGTGGCATCAGCATGTGGCCTTTTTCTCTGCTCTTGTGTCTCAAGAGTTTGTGAGTAAAGCTTATTAACCTAATGTATTTCACAGCTGAATCTGAGTTCGACCTCTCTCTTCTCAAACTCCAGAGTTCAAGGAGGCCTTCCTTTTATTTGACCGGACGGGTGAGGGGAAGATCACCTACAGCCAGTGTGGCGATGTCATGCGGGCCCTTGGACAGAATCCTGTCAATGCTGAGGTGCTGAAGGTCCTGGGAAACCCCAAGTTAGAAGGCAAGCCTCTGATTCACCAGTACCACCTAGCATAGAACAGTTCAACATACTACGTTATCATTGGTTGGGTGTCTACAATTATAAACCCTCTGCTGTTTTTTTTTTGGCTTATTATATTAGACGTTTGGGGTTCAGACATGAGCATACAGAGCATTTATTTTAGTAATGATGACCCATACAAGCCCTGCAAGTCCTCCTCTGTTCTTAATGAACTGTGTAAGGTCCTGAGATCGGGAACTAATGTTGACTGTAAGTGGTATTTATGGAGATTTGCTCCATAAAGCTCTGATATTGTGTAAACTGCATTTATACTTTCATGTTTTGCGTAATATGCTGGGAATTAATTTTGGTAAAGTTTCCTGGCGTCCATACAAATCTGCCTCATTGCATTACTGTTCCAGGTGTTTGAAATAAAGAAATTTGTGAATTTGTTATTAATTCACCTGCAGATATGAACAACAAGATGCTGGATTTTGAGCAGTTCCTGCCCATGCTTCAGGCCATCGCTAAGAACAAGGACCAGGGCTCCTTCGAGGACATCGTAGAGGGTCTGCGTGTCTTTGACAAGGAGGGAAACGGTACGGTGATGGGGGCAGAACTGCGTCATGTTCTCACTACACTAGGTAAGTCCTCAAACACCTGCAAAACACAAAGATTTGTCGTTCATCCTTATCTAGAAGTTGCAGCTGACCTGTCATGCATATCTGAAGTAGAGTTAAGTTATCTGTACTGAGAACAGTGTTAACAAGCGTGCTGTCTCCTCTGTCAGAGTACTCCTTTTCTTTATTGCGTCTTAAAATACATATTAAATGTTCTTTGTGTTCCAGGTGAAAAAATGACAGAGGAGGAGGTGGAGACTCTCTTAGCGGGACACGAAGACGCCAATGGCTGCATTAACTATGAAGGTAAAACTGCACAGTATGTGGAAAGATGTACTGAGAAGCCTAAAAGCTAAACAACAACAAAACCAGACTGTACCGAGTGCTGTACTGTCCAATGTATGTAATGCATGTAAACATGTGGCACTACTGTTGTGGATCACTATTGCTGTAGCCTATTCCATCTGCATTTAGTGTCCTAATTAGCAGCAGCGGGCAGCCATTGTGCAGTACCCAGGGAGCAGTTAGGTTTAGGGCCACTCTCAGGGATACCTTCAGCAGTAGTCTGTGCTGTACTCAAATCAGCGACCCTCTGGTTCCCATGCTAAGGCCTCCACGGACTGAGCTAATGCCGTTTGCTGTGCTCACAGCGAGGAGAGAGCTTGTATCCCAGCTGTCAGATGTTGAATGTTCACTTCGTGCCTGATTTTATCTGACTGTTGTTTTTCTCCTTCCCTCTTGTGACAGAACTCGTCCGGATGGTGATGAGCGGTTGAGGAATTCAGACACACACTTTAATTTTATTCCTAGATATTTTTGTATTGTTTGTCTCATCTTGCCCTTCCATCCATGCCATCCTACCTCCAACAAGTCTCTGTTCTCTTTCTTTTATTTTAAAAGTGCCTTTTCTGTCAAATGTGAAAGAAACCCTTTCATCTAATTTCCAAACATTGTTCAGCCTCGCAGGTACAATTGGCAGTAACATTCCCCATTTCCATCTCTGTCAATTAACTCCCGTCAGTCTTGTTGTCAGCGTATTTTCTTTTTCTGGATGGATATGATAATGTGATAATGTGATAATGTTTCATTTAACCATATTCAATAAAAATCCTGGTTTCCAAAGTGTCGTTCAGCCTGTGAGTCTTCTGCTTTAACCGAATGTCTCTTTTATAGGTTATAGATATTATCACATTACAAAACCATTATATAAAAAAAATATTAATATCAGAAAAATATCTGGGATATAATTGGAAAATATAACAATCATATAAATAGATAAGTGAAAAAAATATTAGTATAAATAAATATATATAAATATTAGAATATCATCTGTGGAAAATGTCCTTAATGTCTGGAAAAACTAGTAAAACATCTAATAAATAAAAAAATCTCTAGTGTGCGTTATATCAAAGGAAAATTCTGGTAATATGAGACAATAAAACAGCGGAAGTCACACATTCAACAAAAATTTTAATGATGAATTAAATGAAGAATTGGTAAAAGTTACGTCTACGCAAATGAAATGTAAAGTCATTCTTTAAAGCTTTTTTAGCTGAAAGCCTAAAAACATGCAAGTATGAGGACCCTGTTTTGTCAGCTGCCAGGGTCAGCTTAAAAAAGATGCATTTTAAATGTTTAAATCTCGAGTACATGGTTCTTGGAGTTCCCAATCTGTGAAGCTGCTGACAAAAAACAAAACCACTCTGCACAATGACTCCTCTTCACATCTTTTATTTTTCCCCCAACATTTTGTAATTAAAACCTGAACCTCTTTTGTTTTGCATTTTTTTAATACAAACTGCCAGAGTAACTGTCAGCACTAATGTGATGATTTACTGAGGAAAAATTGATTTCTACTGTATAATAATAATCAATGCAACTGCTGCTACCTTCAGCATAGTGAAAAACATACAGAAACTGAACAGACACTTATTTCATATCACAAAATCCACACAATGTAGTAATAACACGGATAAAAGAAGTCCATTTATGCTCACAACTGTGGTGAGGTCTGCAATACTGGCTTGACGGACATTAACTGTAAAGTTTCACCATCTGACTGGATTATATTTCATGACACTGACGTGACGTGCAGTGTGCAGAACAAAGCATGTATTTTTTAAATTATTTTACAATTCTTCAAACTTTGTGACACACAGCAAATGGCACTGAAAAATAAAACTGAATGGTAATGTGGTTTACAGAGCTTAATGGCATGCGTTCACAGACACACTCACAGTCACATCTCAGGACGGGTCCGACAGACCTGCCCGAATCATACACAACAGTGGAGGGGGTAAATATAGGCTACAAAGGTAATAATATACAGTTACAATGTTGACATATCAAAGAAAGTAGATGGAAAAAACGGACAGTAAAAAATATAAAAATTGATAGGATAAAAAGTGAGGATACTGTTGCAGCTATTAAGGACACAATTCTCCGTTGTTCAGCTGTTTAAGGTGCGAGCTTCCTTGCTTTTGACAGCTTTAACATTTCTTCCATGTGTAACTTGAAATGCACCAGCAAAAAACAAGCCGCTAAAAAAAATCCTCTTAATTTCCCAAGCAACCGCAATAAAACTCACTGAATAAATGTGAGATAAACATGATTATAAAAAAACATTTTGGTTTAGCAATTAACCCAAAGTCAAAATATGAACAGAACACGTTTGTGATCGCTGGTAGAACGATTATTCCCAGGCCTTTCTTCAGTCGTTCCTTTTGAGTAAAACTACATTCCTCATAAAACTACAACCAAGATGCTTTGAGTTCATCCAAATTTGCAAAACATGAAGCTCCTCACTGACATGTTTTTCTCTTAAGTGCTGTTGAAAAGGAGGGACATTATTAAGATAAATTCAAAGAGAAGTCTTTTCAGGATGATGATCTCATACTGTCAGTACTTTCAAATATTAGCATTACAGGGCGACAGAAGGTGTGTTTGTAACAGAAAATCCAGTTTACAGTACATTTTCTCAAACTGCATCCACACCAGCATATTGTAATTTCCAAATGGCTTCTGATTTGAACATTTTCACTCATTACAGACATTTTCTCTGGAGAGAGACATTAGTTTTAGACATGTGACTGCCAGGCCAGACCCTGTAGAGCGACCGTTTGTCCATGTAATATAGGTAAAAATAGAGAGGAAAATGTAACATCCCCAATCAAGTTTCCAAAACCTTCAGTATGAAAAAGTATTTAAGACAACAGAAGGATGATATAAGTGCTAAAGTTAAATTCCATGGATACTTCAAGTCTTTCAATGAGACCTAGGGAAACATGTTAAAAGTGCATTTTGTTTTCCTTACATATATTTTAATTAGTACCTACAGTACAAAGGGGGAGGGTTTATGAAGGATGAGACTTCACGAGCTGTAACAAACTGCTGCAGAACATAAATGCAACCATTTCCAAAACACTGAAAACACAAGATGAGTCTTTTCTCTTCTTCTCCTTGAGTGTCAGCATGGTGGTAAGACCTTCTCCGTTTTCCAGATCTCCGTTGTTAAGCTTAAAATGACAAAGTGAGATGTTGCTGTCCAGTCGACCACACAGGAGGGATAGATTCAGTTTGAAAGTATGTTTTCTTCATAGGCAGATTCAGTTTAAAAGGGACTTCTTTTTCAACAGATAGTCAAAGTGGAGGTGGTTTGATTTAGACGTTATCATTTTTTTTTCCCTTTCTCACATCAATTGTCCTGTTGAAAAGAAAAACAAAACAAAACAAAACAGCTGGAAATGTAAAACGGTTATAATGTAAATAATCCTTCAGTTTAGATTTCTTCATTTCAGGTGATACAGGCAGGATTCAAAGTGGTCAGAGTCAATCGGGTTCTCAGCCAATTTATTTTTCTCTCACTGTGGAGGCGGGACTGGAGCTGAGGGGTGGAGTGTTTCCCCGGGAAGCGGGGCAGTGGGCTCTGTGACGGGTGACACGAGGGAAGGGGAGAAAAATGTTAAGAACTTGGAAGCCGTCTGGTTTTAGAATATAACATTTTCTCCTTGTTTTGAGTCTCAGGTAGAATAACTGTTAACAGGACGAATAATTGAAATAAAGCTGGTGCATGGGTCAAGAATTTACTCTATGATCTTGCATTGGGACTCGTCAAACTTCAACTGCAGTAATGCATGGTGTGCAGGAAAGAAAGGCCTCTTCAATACACTCGCCAAATTATTTTTACTTTCACACCAACCCAATTCATATTTATTTGAATATTTGATAATGGCTATTCAGATCTGAGAGCTGAAAAACAGGAAATATATACTACTACAGAAGATTACGTCCCAAAATAATTCATGTATGACATGTAGTTATAAACTTTTGATTGAAATAGTGCTGACATTTGATGACTAATCGATTAGTTGACAGACTTAATCGATTAAGTCATTTAGAAATTAAATTTGCATGCAACATTCCCTCATTCCAGCATCTCAGTTTTAAGGATTTGCTGCTTTCCCCTGTTTTTACATCATTGTACCGGGAAAGTATTTGGGTTTTGGATTATTTGTCGGACAAAACAAGCATTTTGAAGACTTCACCTTGGGATTTTTCACTATTTTCTGACACTTTCTGACACAATCCTGAAAACAATGAAACAATTAATTGATTAATGACAAACATAATTGACAGACTGATTGATAATAAAAATCACTGTTAGTTGCAGCCCTAGATTAAAACACATTTAGCAACATTCGTTGGGTTATTCGATTTGCATTGTGCACATATTTGATTTCACTTTTTCTTAGTTCCAAATTGTACATGAAGTTGCAATAATACTGTGTGCATTTCACAACAATCAACGAAACCTTGGATGTGTGACACATTCAAGTCTCATTTGATTAACTAGTGAGTTGTGCTGTTTTACATTGGCTGTTAAACATCCACAGAGCAGTCGGGAAGCCTGATAATAACATATATGCAGTAAGAAGCACGCCGCCTTATTTGCTGATATGGTTGAATCAGTCTGACATGTTAACAAGTACTGGTATGAATAAATAAATGTAATAATACAAGCTATAACTTAGGAGGTAATGGAAGCAAAAGTCTGTCTTAATCATAACATCACTAACTGTTAAAGCTGCTACACTGTTGTTTAACTTTAAACTCACCATGGAGTACAGGAGTAGTGCTGGAGCTGGAGCTGGAGTGGGCAGCTGGGGCCTGGCCAGGGGGGCAGGGGGGCGAGGTGTGAGCACCCTGAGGTGGTTGGGACTCAGGAGCTGGGGCAGAAGAGGCTGGAGGCACGGGGCTGGGGGCCGGCTGCGGCGCTGGTGTACTGGGAGCTTGCTGAGTTGCGGTCGGGCCCTGGGGTGGGGGGCCTGAGGCGGCCTGGTTGGAATGAGGGCCTCCTGCCTGACTGTGCTGCTGGTGCTGAATCTGCTGGAAGTGCTGTTGGCGGGCCCTCATCTCAGCGTATTTTAACTGCTCCATGTGGAAGGACTGACGGTCAGCCAGCAGCTGCTGACGCTGGTACTCCAACTGCACACACAGACACACAAAAAGTTTAAGGTTTCGTACTGTAATTAGGTTGACTACTCTCTTGTGATACTACATATCCCAGAAGCCCACACTCACCGCCTCCCTCTCTCTGTCCATGATGGTTTCCAATTCTTCAAAGTGTCGCAGTTTTATCTCCAGCTTCTTCATTTGGGTCTCCACCAGCAGAGCCACAAGAGATTTGATCTTCCTCTCTTCCACTGCAGCCAGGTGCTGTGAAGAAAGTGAGGGAGAAACTTTAGATCAAAGAAAATGCAGAACAAGAAAAAAAAGGTGATGAAGGATGCAGCATGTTGAGGCCCGGTGATAATTAACTGTACCTTGGCTTTGACAGCAGCAGCAGCGAGCGCAGACGCAGCGGCAGTGGCCAGGTTCCCCTCCCCTACGTCACGCTCCACCTTAGCTTTCCTTTCCCCTTCACTCTCTGCTTCTCTTTGTCCCTCCTCTGTGCCCTCTTTTCCATCCTTCTCTTTCTCCCCATCGCCTAAGAGGAAGAAAAAAGGTAAACATTTTTCCACCTTTGACAAGAATTCTGTATTTCCTGTATCCGACTGAGGTGCATTTTCGTACCCATCTCCGACTCTGTTTTGTCCGCCTCCCTTTCTCCTTCTTGTTCTCTTCCTCT